AATCATTAATTTGTCTTATTGCATATTTTTTATACTTCTTATACCGTTTTTTCGGAGAAAATTCTTTAGATTTAATATTCGTACTTGTTTAATTTTGTGGTTTTTTTTTATTTCATTAAAATATTATATTCTTAAACGAAATATCATTTTTTAAAATGATGAAAATAAATCTTTTATTTCGTTCAAGGAAACCATGTCATTTGATGAAACAACACTGTTGTTCAACAACTATTGTTTTAAATAATATTTTTTAAAAGTTTCTCTCAAAATTTAGTAATTTGATTTGTTTAATTTGGCTTTTCTTGTATTTTTTAATTTTTTTTTTGTTGGATTAATCATTATAAATCATTATAAATCATTATAAATTTTGTTAAAAATGTAAAATTATCACTGGTTTACTACATTACATCAATATTCATCGCATATCGAATGTTGCATTGTTTCAATATCTATCAACAAATTATTCTATAAATAACAAGTAAGAATTATATCACTATTATTTGGTGTTTGCTAGGTATGTTATAATATACTGTGAACACTATAAGAATACATTATATAAGCATGAATTGTAAGAACATCGTTGAAGTCATCAGAGTCACCGCGTGCGCGCTCGGATCCCGTCACGTTAAGCAACAGTGTAGTGCGGTCAGGAGATGGATGGGGGGGGGGTAGCCGGTGTTTTTCTACCGTTTGGGATCAAAATCATCGCAAGAGGATTCATGAAAGTTTGGAATGTGTTGACAACCTTCGATATCTAGTAGTTTATGAGACATGAGAAAATTATGAATATAAGTATATTTCTGTAAACATTTTGATTTTCTCATTTTTCACCTTCGCATAATAATTCTCAGTATTTCATTACTATCAATATTTAACATTGATTTTATTATCAGTATTCACCAGAAATTAAGTACTGGCCAAAAAATTGCAGAATTACTGGTAATATTTAATCACTAATAATTTTTCAGTATTTTTTAGTATGATATTTCTATAAGGGGGAATGTACATAGATGTACATGAATGTACATAGATGTACATAGGAATGTACATGAATGTACATAGATGTACAGTCTGTTTGATAAGAACGTATACGGCAAAACTTGATAAATAACTTATTGAAATAATTTGGAATAAAATACACATATACTACTTGATTAGAACTGTGGTGTTTTATTATTAATAACTGGTCGACTTTATTATTAATAATTATCTGGCATCCCAGAGGCATACTTCCAACTAATTTTATGGCATATTTTTGAGGTAATGATTTCCATATCAATCAAATTTGTTGAACTAATTCCTTGACCGACCAAATTTTCTTTCCACGAAGTTTAAACTTCATCAAGGACCAAACGTTTTCCATAGGATTTGTATCCGGTGACTGTGACAGCCAATCCAGTAATTTAACATTATTTTCATATTTCCACGCGGTACAAAGCCGACTTCGATGTTTAGGATCATTGTCCTCTTGTAGTATCCATTTTTCGTTTTTCCTTATACTGAAAGAAACAAATAATTGGAATAACTATAATCTCACTATATTTTATAGTTTGTTTTGGCCTCAAACATATATTTATAATTCATTTAAACATGAAGTTATAGTAGAATGAACACAGATTTATAGTCACCATCTTATTACTCTATATATATGGTAAAGCACTTTTTGGGAATATAGTTACATATATCTATATTTGTCAAATATTCCAATTGTATTGACTATATAAAATAGTTAATTTCTCTTACCATTCAATATTTGTTACCTTACTATATTTTTTATTTCAAATAATTATTATATAATTCTTGGTAAAAATTTTACATGGGTCAGTTATACTATGCTTATATTGTAAATATTACAAATATTATGGTAACATTTACTATACAAATTATATTTCTAACTATAATCTTTTTACTATGCCATAGTTTCAAATATCATACATTTTTCTTTCAGTGTATAAACCATGTTTGAGCAGATTGTAATAAAGCCTTCTCATAAATTTTGACTATTTTGTTAGCGTTTAAGTTGTTTGTAAATATATGCAAAGTGCCAAATCTTTACGTAGAGCCACGTTTTGATAAGTCATCGACATTTTTCACCTCTAAGTAGCGATTCACTTACTTATTTACAAATACTTTTGACTTTCTCATGTACTTAGCAGCCGTTTGGCGTGACATTTTTAGTCCTTTCGAATGTGTACAAAGAAACAGGGCTTCGAAATGCGAAACGCGATATTTGGCACTAATGGCGAAATATATATTTTATCACGAAGATCGAATGACAACTAAAGCTTTATCAACAAAGCATCTTAGACGAAAGGTGTCTCTACCGATTCCTGTTTGAATTTCCCATCTACCCGTTTATATGTAAAAGTTTTGCTGGATACACTCTTATCAAACAGACTGTATAATACCTAGGCCGCAACGTTTTCCATTGTCTGAACGCGCCAAACAATATAAAGAAATAGCATTTTTTCGGTAAAAAGTCTGTCTCTTTCTAACGAAGGCTGCTTTATTCCTGCCACAAGACTACGATAAGTAATGGAAATAAAACAGCCTTCGTTAGAAAGAGACAGACTTTTTACCGAAAAAATGCTACTTCTCTATATTGTTTGACGCGCACAGACAATAGAAAACGTTGCGAACCCGTGACCTAGGTATTATATATCTATGGTCCTCTCCCAGCACAAGATTAGGAGCTACAAGATTATTAATTATTATGTAATATTTAATGAAAAAAATTCTTCATTAATAAAAACATGAAATGCATCATGTTTTACACTTATATTGTTCTCCAAACATACTATTGCAACATTTATAGTCCATACATGATTTGTTGTAGCTCAAACAATAAATATAATAACTATTTATTTTTATTCTTTATTCATCAACAATTTATCTAATTATTTAAATGAGGCTATAAGATCTCAAACGATGTAGAAAGAAAAAAGAAAAGTTCTCTATGGCAATTTTTGTGGAAAACAAAAAACCATATTGATAACGTAGACAGCTTAATACAAGGATACTCCAATGTTTAACGACTCGGGAGCACGGGTTCTCGTTGTCCGATTGAACAAAAGTCTGGTAAGGATTTTTTTTGTCAAATGGAAACTTTTTGGAGAGTGCCGCGGAAAAAATTTAAAAGTCGAAAAATGAAGATCATCCTATTTCGACAAATTTTAACATTTTTTTTGCCCTATGAATACAAATAATCATTCCGATTTATTTTTGGCCGCCATATACAAATGTATCGTCTAATTTCAGCTATCATGTTATAATTTTTAGAAAATTTTTAGTTAAGTGACTCAAAAAAGACGATTTTATGATGTTGCAGCGGTGGAAGAAATTCTTTTTTTAAATTTCATTAACATACTATACAAAACTAAAAATTTCAAATTTTAAAATGCATTTTTGTTATTGTGATTTCTAGTCTATTATATAGACAAACGCATATATAAAATTATTATCGAAGTTATCGTTCCTTTATTTAGTATTTATCGATTATATTCTATAAGTAAAAAAACCTTTATTTTCTACACGATATATTATTAAGTTAGAATTAAGTACTTTCTTCATTTATTGTATGGAAAAGAACTATTTTAAATAGCCCCAAAACGAAAAATCATATTTAAACGAAAAAAATATATTTTAAAATTTAAAAACCTTATACTTTAGCATGGCATTAATGAAATTTAAAAAATTCCACTGCTGTTACATTATCATAAAATCCTTCATTTCTTTTAGCGTAATTTACCTTATGTTTCTTAAAATTGTGACGTGTTAACCAAACTTAGAAAACCAATTTATGTTTAGCGTCCAAAAATATTCCAGATATAAATACTCGCGATTTTAGGATAAAATAGTGTTGGACAGTATAACTGATTTATAAGTTTAATCTTCTATACAGGGTGTCCCAGATTCGTCTCCGCAATGTTCGTGAGAACGTAGAACGGATTGAAGTGAATATATAAGTCCCATACCATTTTGCGATATTCGCAATAAATTTCGAGATATTACTTAAAGAAGATTGGCCTATAACTATGCGTGATATGTCAGATGAGCTCTAAGGGCGATGTATGCTGTTGTATGTTTGTACATTAAGTCAAACTGAATAAAAGAGTCCTTTATCATTTTATAAATAACTACATAGATTTTTAATTATTAATGAAAAAAAGCTATGTTATATGATTGTACGCCATAATGCATAAATCTTTTTTAATTGATATCTAAAAATCTATATGGTCATTTGCAAAATGATACAGGATTTTTTTGTTTAGTTTGATCTAATATACAACGGTATAAATATACAACGGTAGATGGTGCCACTCATATATCGATGGTGTAGCTCATATATCGCGTGTGATTATTTACCAATCTTCTTTAATTAATATTTCAAGATATATTGCGAATATTGCACAATGGTATGAGATTTTTATGTTTACATCAATCTGCTTATCTTATGAACGTTGCGAAGACGAATCTGGGATATTCTGTATATTTCACTCTGTTACGATAATGCTGAATGTTTCAATGCACGAAATCGCGTAATTACAGCTGAAGCGACGGCAGCTGCAACTTAAGACGCAACAAGAAGGTGTTCCACCAGGGCGCGTGCTCCTCACGCTACTGTGGAAATGTTGCCAGAATTGTTTACAACCACCTGTCATCAACTCACTTGCAGAAGTAAGACCGAAATAAATCTGCGTGTCATAAGACATATGTAATTAGTGTGCCGTCGCGAAGAAAAATCAAGATGTGACTTATGTGATATTTTGGATGTATTTTTTCGTTTTCTTTTTTCGGTAATTACCCAGTAAGCAAGAAATATAAAGTTTACATTTTTTAACGTTAATATTGTATGTAATTTTTAATCGTTTTGAATAATGTTTTATAAATGTTTTACAAATATTACTTAATATAACATTGCTTTTTACATTACAATCAGATATAAAATTATAACACTTTAAGGCAATGTGTCTTAGAAACTATGTGCGATTCTAACGTAATTCAAAGAACCTACAATTCTACTTTTTATAATATACATACAGATAAGATCAAACTAAACACAAAATTCATTTACCATTTTGTATTCAATTTGATCTAATCTACGTGATCTAATCTACACGAGATACGTGACATTTATCATCAAATATCCTGTATATAAAAATGGAAGATGCATTCTTTATAAATAATTTTTTATAAATAATTTTTTTTCTACTTTTCTAATTCATGGATATTTGTGTACCGTAGACGAATTGCTTGTTTTTCATCCTCACGTGTATCGGCAAGGACTTGGATACGGAGTTGCCAGTGCAGCTGCAGCAGCTGCTTGGGAGCGTGCGCGACGCTTTTTTAGCAGAGGAGACAACGACGTTGCCATCAGTTAAAAGAACGCTCCTTCAATTGATTGAGCTCCACGCTGCTCATTGGCAGCTACCGGCACCGGCTGTGGTTTACTATTACCCCAGTTCTAATTCCAAATAATCACAAATACCCATTGCTCGCGACTTTTCCGTCCGTCTTCCCCAAATAATGTGCGAGTGGATTTACGCAAAAGTACGGATGTACTTTTGGTTCTTTGTACGACATCTAATGTTTCTCCGACCAAGATATTTGTAACTTACCGAACACACGTTAGCGATCTGAAATCACTTCGTCTACGATTTTAACGACATGCAAAATACGATGTTCTCACATGTATTCTCGTACAAAAGTGGTAATCGTTTTTTCGCCGATCGCGAACAGTTCGCCAAACATAGTTACAGTACAGTTTGGGACGATCTCGTTCCTTTTAACGAAATTCTTACTCGAAAGCTCTGTATGAAGTATGAATAAACGAATTCTTTTCCATAAATCAAAAGTTCGTTTTATAAATGTGGAGATCACGAAATTCCGACAAATCCGATGATTCGTTGAAAACTTTCTTATAATGGTCGCAATATCAACCGCGACGTTCGTTGCAACAATGACTCGTTGCAATAAACTTATAACATAAATTTATCTTGAATTGGCCACACGCAATCAGTGATATAATTTTACGAAACTAATGCTTCTGATTGGCAGTTGTAACTCCAGACAAGTTTGTGATCATCGACGAGCAGCGACTGATTACGATCGACATTACGACCATTGTAGAGACTCTTGTTGTCAATAAGTCGAATTTCATAAACTTGTTGCGGAAACAGGATGAAAAGCCTAACCTTTCCGAAAAGGAGAAACAGTTATGCGAACAGAAGCGCCACGAAACAATACATCCCTGGTAAAAAAAGTTGATAGAGAATGATAGAATAAAATTCTATATTGATATTGATATTGCTATCAATTTGAATCGTTTTCTTTAAACTGTATCGTTCTCGCACGCAAGTTCAGATATAAATCCTATCGTATTTTATCGTATTTTATCTGATTATAAATGATTTCGTATTCTATAGGAAACTAATGATAGAAATTCTATCACTATTTATTGTATTCTATCGTATACGATAGAATATTACTCACATTTGTGAATTCACGAACCAAAATCCATATTCAAAACGATAAAAAAACAATAGAATGATAGAATTTTATTCTATCGTTCTCTATCAATTTTTTTTTACCAGGGATATGATCTCTTTTTCCAAATACAATCGCTTCTGCTGATTCGTGCCAAGGGCAAGAAAAGATCGTTCAGTAACCGAGTGGTAGACGCGATTTCTCTTCAAGTTGAGTCATAACATGAATTCGCGTCATCGACCATCGCGCGTGAACACCTTTGTTACTCGCTTATGCACAACATCGAATCTTCTTAAACTCTGATTAATTGTTCAAACTTTTAGCATAACTTTTTGGAGAATTAAAACGATCTCTCAATTTCGGAATAGATAGCAAACACATGTATGACTAGGGACAGGCACATTTTTTATTTTTATTATTTTCTATTTATAAAACTTCAAATATAATAGGAACACACGCACACATCGCGAGTCCGCTCGGGCTGGCGGGCGAGCAACGTGTGTGTGTGTGCGTGTTGTGTGTGTGCGTGTTGTGTGTGTGCGGGTGCGCGCGTGTGTGTATATGAATGTAGCAGGTATCTTGCTAACTTACAAATTCGTTTTTGTATATACGGTGTCCAAAAATTACATTTTTTATGCAACTTCTTTTATTAATAACTTTTTAACGAACAATGAGGCTAAAACCTTCAGAAAATCACTTAAAAGGGTGACCTCTATAACATATGTCAAAGTCTAGCCTATCGGAGGTGGCACCAGTTTTCTATATATTTACCTTTTTGTTTATTATTTATGGCTATTTATTGATTTGTAACGGATGTCGGCGATGTGCATTAAGGTTCCTCACTGATCAATTCCTTGCTCAATTCAGTGCTATAGTATGGCTAGATCTGGAAAAGAAAAAATTGGCAGAGAGTGACATCGGAAAATATTATGAATCTATTATGTCAATTATACGCTTATCGTCTTACGTTTAATATATTCATCGACACGGAGTAATAAAGTCCGCTTTGCCGGCGGATGAGACAACCTATCCATTGATGACCTTGAAATCATCATTTGACTGGCGGAGACTTAAGAGAGGATTCGCCTTGAGTAATTGGTGCCGCGAACTCGAAAACTAGGCCTGCACTCGCGATGACGTCGACACGTCGCGTCGCGCACTTTTTACATACACGTCCGTTATGGAGCAGTGCTTTTCAACTGACGTATCGCGAAACTATAATACATTACGGCTATTCCTCGAGGACTTCGTATTTTTAACAACAAAAGAGGAAAGAAGAATCATTCAAGGTTCTGTCTTTTTTTTATTTAAAAGTTATTTTATTTAGAAATGTACGAAAAGAGATAAACTCTGCAAAATCTTCTCGAATAATATTAAAATAAATTTTTATTTTATGTATACACATATGTTGTGTGTCACACATTTTTTACAATACATTTTTTATAATATATATATGTCACACACACACACACACACACGCGCGCGCGCGCGCGCGCGCACACGCCCACACACAAACATATATATACAGGGTGAGCAAAAAGTATGGACGCCCTAAAAAATCTCAAAAAATATAAGTTTTATAGAAAAATGTTTCAAATAAAAGTTGTAGGATTTAAAAAGGTCTATTCAATATTCTCATCAGTTTGACCCTGGCTGGCGTCGTTAAGGTGAAGTCAAAGTCACCTTGAATTTTTTTAATGGAACACCCCATATATTATTATATATACTTATAGTTTATCTCGAGAGCTTTCCAAAACACTATAATAAAATATTTTTTCGTTAAGAACTTTTCGAGTAATAATACTTGCAATTTCCAGCACTTTGACATAGAATACAAAATATCTTGTAAAATATTCATCTTTCGATTATCTTGCCTTGATGCTTTTTTGTACAGAATAATGAGACAAATTAATTGGCTTAAAAAAAACAAAAAATTTTGTACATAAACATAAAAAAATTTTTTGTGCTTTTTTAAAGCCAATTAATTTGTTTTATTATTCTGTGCAAAAAAGCATTAAGGCAAGATAATCAAAAGATGAATATTTTACGAGATATTTTGTATTGTATGTCAAAGTACTGGAAATTTCAAGTGTTATTACTCAAAAAGTTCTTAACAAAAAAAAATAGTGTTTTAGAAAGCTCTCGAAATAAGCTATAAGAATATGTAATATAATATGTATAATATGGGGTGTTCCATTTAAAAAATTCAAGGTGACTTTGACTTTATCTTAACGACGCCAGCCAGGATCAAACTGATGAGACTATTGAATAGATCTTTCTAAATCCTACAACTTTTATTTGAAACATTTTTTTGTAAAACTTATATTTTTTAAGATTTTTTAAGGTTTCCATACTTTTTCCTCACCCTGTATATAAAGTTATGCTTCAAAATTTTATAGAATCAATTCCTCTAATTAAAACGTATGTTGATCTTTAACTCAATTAATTGTGTCAATCAAATAAAAATATATTATATATATATTTAGTTATTTATTTATTTATATTCTATCGATTATTTCTAAAATATATTGTCCAAAAGGATTTAAAAACATTGTTGTAGAGATTGAAGATATAGTTGTGAAAGAGACAAACGAGGGAAAAAGAGAGAAGAGGGAGGAAGAAACAGAAGGAGTAGGGAGGCATGGAAGAGGTAGACGGAGGTACGCGCGTTCGTGGCAACGAAACAAATAGGCCGGCGACTTTCACCGCACAACCAAGAGCGACTGTACGATGGTCGAAGCTTGGGACAACCGCACAGTTAGACTCGCTGTCGAAGAGTTAGCTAGCCATTCTTGGGAGCTCGAGTAAAAATTCCTCGGTTTGTTTCTTTAAGGAACTTTTCTCGAGAAAGCAGGCAGTAATCGTGCTTCGGGAAAGATGCACGAAGTGTATGCCGTGTGCAAATATACTTCTCTGGTTCGTTCATTCGTACTGCATTGACGCGCGCGCACGTGATCAAAAAATCGTACAGTGACATTTTACATCTCACATAATATATATCACGGAAAGTACTATAAATATATTTTCTCTTGTATTTCTCGGTCTAGAATTTAGGCGTTTCCTTAATACCGACAAGCCGTGCGTTATCCGTCTTCAGCAACCTGTTGACAAATCTGCGTTTAGCGAATCCGAAAATTCGTATGAACCACTGGGTCGGTGCACTTTCGTTTCTCTTGCTGACGAACAGTACCAGTGGGACCGTAAGCGGAAACATCGCAACGATGTACCTCCGCTGACGTGAGACGCGAGAGTGTGCGTGTGAGAGAGTGAGAGAGATTATCGCGTGGGGCTTGGCTCGAGGTGCGAAAAGAGACACACGTGTGCCGTGTGTGGCATGAGAGAAATGCACGGGCGTGGAGCTAGCGAGACCGAGTGACGAGATGACACAGCAACGACACACGGCCCGCAGCATCGCTCCGCCACGCCGCGCGATTACCTATATCGTGCTCTGTTGGATCGTGTTACCCACCGAAACTGGTAGGTGCAACTGCGCTTCTGAAAGAAATTCATCAAAATGCAGTCAATATATAAACTAGCAATAGCTTGAATGTATTTTAAGATTTAATATCATAATAATGTGCATTACAAATATCACATATTTCTGATATAAATATTAGTTATTGACATTGTTCGGTGAATTGTGTTAAATATTAACATATAAGTAAAGATACATATTTCTTCTTTATTTGTGTTTCACGCAATATTTATATTAATATTTATACTATATAAGATATAAATAAATAAATAAATAAATAAAAACAAAAAAAAAATATATATATATATATACATACACATATGTGTGTGTGTATATGTATGCATAAAAGATCATTTTGGAAATTAAAAAATAAATAGAAATATACGTGAAATAGAGATTTTACTCGAATAATTACATTTTCAATAATCGATCCACCTATTTTCAATTATATTTGCGCACTTATATTGTATCTATTATTTAAATATATATTAAAGTATATTTTTGCGTGTTATTATTTTGTAACTGCTCAGTAAATTAAGAATAACATATTAGTACTATAATTTCCCATTCAGCAATGTAATGTAATATAATATGTAATATGTGTTCATATGTGTAAAATGTGTTATAATATAATTTATATAATATAACATATATTGTGCATAACAGTTACGTTGTTGTTTGAGAAAATATAACACTGATAAGCAATGTTACTGTCAGTTGATGTTTATTAGATAGGGCGTTTTGTATCTTCTGATACAAAACACTTATATCGATATATTAAACGTTCGTCGTTTCCTTGAAATGAGCATTGCGCATTGCGTCATATCCTTTTACAAAGGATTTCTAAAAATTCTTTTACGACGCAATGTCTAATATCACGTCGGTACATTAGGTGTCATATATATATA